AGAGAGAGAGAGAGAGAGAGAGAGAGAGAGAGAGAGAGAGAGAGAGAGAGAGAGAGAGAGAGAGAGATTCTGTTTTCTGTCGATATGGTCGCTCGCAGCCCTCCTTCCTCTTTTCCCTTGCACCCCTTGACCTCATCGAGAACGGAACCCAGTGCGGATATGTGACTCTGCGTCCCTGAGTTTGTGCGGGCGTTGATGAATAGGCGCTATGGAATGTGCATGCTTATGTAGCGCGTGTGTGGTTGGACGAGTGACTCTGGCTGCGTGTTTGCCGCCCACAAACATCTTATCTACACCCTCATCTTATTCTCCCCATCTGAAGCTGTTCGAGCATCTGCTTTTTTTCTCTTCCTTCTCCCAAGCTATGCGCAGTGTGCATCGTCTGACATGCCTGACAACCTCGAGGGCGTTGATACCTCTCATTGCGTAGAGTGGCGAATTCTGACGCATACTTCCACGTAGAGCAGCGAATTCCGAAGGTTTTTTTTTTTTGTTTTTGTTTTTAATAATCAGAGAGAGCGTTTATTGTGTTTCTATAGGATGCCGGTATGAGGCCGAAGTTACTGTGACCATTACCCAGCTGAATTGTTTTGTATTCGTTTTTTTTTTCAGAGAGAGCAGCAGTAATTGTACCTCAATGGAATGCCGGTATGAGGCCGGAGTTACTGTGACCATTACCCAGCTGCGGCTTGTGATGGAAACCTGCCCGATTGCGTACGTGCTACACGTGTTTTCAGAGAGTTTCCTGAATGCTCAATGAAAGCAGGCCCATTTATCGTGTTGGATTAAACGGTCCTCGCTCCGCTATTCTCTCTGGAAAAAAAAAGTGTTAGCGTGAGAAAACCTTGAAATGGAAGGGGTTGATAGGGAATCGGTCGCTTACATGAAGTTACATCATAAAAAGTTTAAAGTTGAGATTCTTATTGCTTCGAAAAAAAAGGCTATTGTAAGTTTGAAGGTGATTGCCTCAGATACATTGAGCGCTGGAAAGTGTCAGTGTGAGAATGACTTGAAATGAAAGGGGTTGCCCGAGAATCAATTGCTCCCCGCCTTTCACACGGAGTCGCATCAGAAAGACCTATATATGTATAAATATATGCAAGGTATAAACCACCAGGGCATATTGCAGTCCATTTGACGATGTCTCGTTTCGTTGGCTCCAATCGTTTTCTCCTCGTTGTGCTTTTGGACCTTCTTCGAGTCGTGAGATTGTCGAAGATGGCGATAAAACATTTTTTCCAAAGCTAGGGCTACGTACTGGTGGTTTAAACCACCTGCATGTTTCCAAGTCTTTTTCCAAAAATGTGCATGCATGGCTCTCTTCTAGCGGAAGATTCCAGTACTCTTCGAGATGCACAAAAAATAAAAATGTTGGAAATGTATCTTTCCATGTTCTAGCGGAAGACTCTCTCTCGTTTTGCACATGTCTCGAGTAGTTGAGCGAGGCCCTTTCTTTCTCTTGCTACTCCCATGACACACTTTCCTTTATCTACTGCTGTGGCGGCTGGATTGTGCGAGGTGTATAGGCATGGGAGCTCCAGTGCGTACATGCTATACTTGGGGCTGAATTGCATGTCACTTTTTCGTATAGTGTTCTCAGCGCTCGATGAGTCGCCCATTTATCTCCTTGAATAGAATAGAAAACAGCTATACGTCCAGGTCGTGGTGCGAGTATCGAAAACCAGTTGACAGCAACTTGGGCCGGACAGTCGACTCGCGATGGGACTACCAGGGGAAAAGGGTAGGGTTCCCGATAGACCGTCCGGGCAAGCAGAATGGATGACGACTGAGGGTTGCTCTGCCAGGCTAGGCATCCGACCTCTACAACAACCTGGGTTAAAAAAAAAAAAAAAGAAACAGCGAAAATAGCACAAAAAAATTGTACGAGGTGGCGTTTTTGCAATTTTTCAACTGGGCCCTCCCATGGACCACGCTCTGCGAATGTGGGGCGCTTATGGCATCCGAGCCGTCTACAAAGTGCGTGCATCTTCTGCGAATGTGTCGCACTATTTTTTTTTTTTGCTTTGTCGAACTCAACGCGTGCATCTTCTGCCGGAACGTCTTACTTATTTCTGCTTATTCCATAACTGCTTTCTTTTTTTTCCCCCCCTATAACTGCTTCTGGTTCTCCCCACACTTGGATCAATAGAATATATATGAATTTGAGATTTCGATGAGTGATTACTCACTTAAGGAATCAGTAGTTGTCGGAGAAAGAAGTCGGCAAATCGACAAGATAAGCAAGAACTGGAACTTGCAGCCACTGCACTACAAAGGGTCATATGTGACACAGCACAGTTTTTTACCTGTACTTTCTGAGCAACCGTCTGAGTGACAGGTCATGTGTGACACAGACATCCCACTGACCTTTGAAACACTAAAATATTTTTGATGACACAGCTCGCGGACTGAAGCTTCTTTCTGATGCTGGGCCTGGTTCTTAGCACCTTTCTGACGCTTCTTTCTGATGACACACCTCACGGACTGAAGCTTCTTTCTGATGCTGGGCCTGGTTCTTATCACCTTTCTGACGCTTCCTTCTTATGACACACCTCGCGGACTGAAGCTTCTTTCTGATGCTGGGCCTGGTTCCCAGCGCGTGAAGCCCCCCAAGATTAGATTGGAGCATTCAGAAAAAAAAAAAAAAAGGCCTTGGAAGTGATACCAACTTTCGGTCCATAGCAACTGCAACTAACTGGTTGCTGTGAGCCCAGGCCCCAGGGTCGAGGTCCCGCTGGCAAAGAAGATTGGATATAACCCCTGAGTGTCAACGTGGTTGTGGAGAGCGTGCCGAAAATGGCGATTAACCTTGCTTTTCTGCATCGTTGCAGCTAATGCATCCAGATTCAGGCGCTTAATCCAGTTCTTTTGGCTGGTGGGACCGCACCCCAGCAGGTCTTAGAGAACTTCGTTTTTTTTTTTTGTTTCTTTTTTTTAAATAATAATAAAAGGGGCACAGTGCCCAAGGCAAAAAGAATACAATGATAACGACGTTGCAAGTTCAAATTCGGGGGCCACAGGGTCTCCAGCTGCACTTAACAAGCTGAGCCAGTTCCAAGCTGTGCACAGAGGATTCCGAACCAAAAAACTGTCAACAAGGTCTCACCAGAGCTATTTCACAAGTGTATTCCACAGTCTCAAGGAACCATACCTCGTAACTGCACAAAAAAAACACAAACTGAAAAGAAAAAGGCCTTCAAAATTTAATGGAATGCAAAAAGGAACCTATTAATTTAGCGAAAATCTCCAGTACAGGCATGCATCCACCATAGCCAAACACGGGCAAGAGGCCCAATGTTTCCCGAACCACTGAACTACAGCATGCAAGCTTCCTTTTTTTTTTTTTTTTTTTTTTTTTTTTTAACCAATCTTATAAATTTGTTTTCTTCCAATCCAGATAGATGATGTGATATGCAGGTCTATTTGCACAGGGTACAGCAGTCTTGTTGTATAGAGGGAGAATCATTTGTCAATGATCTCACAACATCGTATCAAACATACGTTTCACTGACACCATATATGCCACAGCACTGTAGTGCTGAAAGACTCTACGAGGCCGGCGATTTGGAGAGTCTGAGTTGCAGTGTGGCCAACAAAATGGACTCTTGTGATCAAATATTGCCCCAATGGTCAGGAATAGGAGAATTTGCCTTGCATTGCACCCACACAGCACGACTGTTGGCACAAGCGACCCATAAGTGTTGTTGTTCTTCCACCAGGTGAAGAGTTGAGCATGCAGTACAAAAAGGGGACCCTTTATTTTGGCGTGAATACAGTTTTCCAGCAGGTGCTGCTCCCCACCAATAGATGGAGCCTCCTCGGGAGTGCTAGTGGTGCCTTCTCTTGTCAGCACCCCTAGCATTGGCCGGAGAAGTCTTTCAAAAAAAAACAAAAAAAAAAACAAAAAAAAAACAGTAAGGCTGCTGTAGGAACTGCATGGTGCAGAATAAGCCAACGTAACCCCGGCATGTTTGGCGACTACCAGCAAAGGCAGTAGTCGCCAAACAGCACTCAGTCTGACTCTGTGTGGCTGGATTGGACAACCAAGTCTTCTCCACTTGGCGACAATTTGCCAGTCCATATCCACATCTGGCAGCAACATAGAGTACTATGCCTTTTTTTTTTTTTTGGCTATCTTTAGGGTTTGTTGTGTGAGGGCGAAAGTCTTGTCAGGTTC